CAAGCAGAAACTTACTTTATCATAGGAAAAGAAATAATACTAAAAAACCCATGTTTAGGAAATAGACTAAATCATTTGTATATTTGATCTAGACTAAAGATTTTCTTCAACAAATGCATTAATTAAAGATATTAGGTGACACCAGATACCGGTGCCTCACACATGTAATCCTAGCTATTCCAGAAGGTTGAGATCTTGAGGATCCTGATTTGAATCCAGCTGGGGCAGGAAAGTTATTTCCAATTAACCATCAAAAAGCCAGAAGTGGAGCTGTGGCTCAAGTGATAAAGTGCTAGCCTTGAGCAAAAAAAGCCAAGGCCCTGAGTTCAAGCCCAGAACCAACACTTTAAACATATATGTGTATGTGTGTGTGTATAGATACGTATAATCTATCTATCTATCTATCTATCTATCTATCTATCTATCTATCTATCTATCTATCTATCTATCTATCTATGGTTACTAATAAAAGCTTAAGAAAATACTTAATGAACTGCTCGGCTTGACAGAACCTCGACTTGACACCCTGTGGCTGTTCCTCACAGCTGAGGCATTTCCTTGGGTTCCAGAGAGGATGAAGAGAGACCAACCAAGGAGAAACAAGGAGTCAAGGTGCATCTGCAAATATGCACTCGCCTTGAGCTGAAGAGCACAAGGACAGCACCCAAGGCCAGAGTTCAAGACTCATGACCGACAAAAAATAAATAAATAAAAAATACTCTATTGTATATGGCAACATTTTAGGATGGAGGGAAATGGATCGAGTTCCTTCCTCTGCAGAGCCTTCTAATACCTCCTGAGCAGTACCTAACTACCATTTGGCAACCATACTGGTAAAGACAAAGAATACAAGTGTGGGCTCATGGTCCCTTCTTTATGAGATACAACATAAACTCATTTCAAAAATTTTAACTTAAATAAAATTTATCTACCAAGCCTATTTCTTGGGCTGCCTGAGTTCTGCAGCCTCTTCTCATGGTGCTAAGTGGAAAAGGACACTTCTCATCTACCAGGTCACATCAGTTTTTCCAGTCCTACTCCTTTTCTTCCAGTCTCCAGCCCCAAGGCCATCTAGCCACCTTCACTTACTCCATTAGCTCAACACGTCTTCACCTTTGCGAGTGTAGCCCCCAGGGATTGTCTGGGGCCATTTTGACCCTTCTTCCCATAGATATTTCCTGGGAAATCACTTGCTAATCCCAATAGCAGCAGAGTAGGCCTGTAATGCACATTAAAGTCAGTGCACATTCTTGGGAATGTGATGGTGGGAGGGGTGTCGGTGCCCTTTCTTGATCTGATCCAAGTACAGTACTGGCAAGTGCAATATACCATGTGAAATCCCTCTGAAAGATTAATACACTAATTTAAAAAATGTCTGGGTTACACTAGTCAGTCTCACTAAATCAGGATGGAGCTGTCTTGGGTATACTTTATGGTTCATTATTATGCCCTTTCTCTAAAAACAGACTCCTGATAGGGAGTAGCACAGAGACCTGCAAAGACCCTAAAATGCCTGTTCTCTTCCCAAGAGGCTCCCTTTGACATCCCTACCCACCATCAAGGCAGAAGCAGCTCTTTCCACACTTAAATGTATACATGAAACATTTTTAGTGAGCTTACTACTCTACTTATGTCTTTGCTTCCCAAAAGCTCATGAGTGAGTAGCGCTGTCTCATTAACTTTGGATTCAGTTATTAGCACAGTGCCTGGCATACGATTTGCAAAAGATGTTCAGTAATTAAAAAATAAAAATGGAGCTGGGCGCTGGTGGCTCATGCCTGTAATCCTAGCTACCCAGGAGGCTGAGATCTGAGGATTGTGGTTCAAAGCCAGCCTGGGCAGGAAAACTCCTATTTCTAGTTAACTACCAAAATATTAGAAGTGGAGCTGTTGGCTCAGTGGTAGAGTGCCAGCCTTGAGTGAAAAACCTCAAGGACAGCATCCAGGACTTGAGCAAGCCTCAGGACTACAACAACAACAACAACCAAAAGACCACTTGCTTTGTATGTCCAAAGCCTTGAGCTCAATCTCTAGTACCTCAAAAAAGAAAAAAAAAAATACAGAGGGGCAAGGTAGTATATACCTCTAATCCTAGCTACTTGGGAGGCTGAAGCCAGAGGATCCAAAATTCAAGGACAGCTTGGGGAACTTATTGAGATCTTGTCATAAAATGGAGAAAGCTAACAAATAAAAAGGGATAGGGATATAGTTCAGTGGTAGAGTACTTTCCTAGCATGCACAAAGCCCTGGGTTCAATCCCTAGTATTATATAAACCAAACGATACTTTTACAGAGATACGTGTGTGTTTTGGATATATGTATTTGTTCTACCCAGCAGCATACACACATCTTTCACAGCAAAGAAAGTGCCACAAGCTGGACAATGGCTTTGTTGTTACGAGGTTCTCTAGTGAGTACTGTATTTTTTGGGCCTTCTCTGAAAACAGCCCTATTTAGAGCTTTTGAAGGAAAACAAAGACCCTTTTCTAAACCCAAGTGACTATAAGGGTCACCAACTATAAAGCATCAAATACGTGGCGAATATCTCCCCACCCTCCCCGCACATAATGCAGGCCAGGCACAAAAAGCTTGTCTGTCTTCAGGAAGGCCTGGGTCCTCACGCATGCAGGGCAAGAGCTCTGCCACCAAGCTACACCCCAGATAAGGATCAGAAAGTTTTATGTCTTTAAATATTGACTCTAGCAGATTGTTTATCTGTAAGATCTGCTTCTCAGCTCTGGCTAACCATCTCTATTGAGGAGTGCAGGCCCACAGTTGCCAGATCTGATCTTTCAAGTTAGAAATAGGAAAATTCATATTTGTATGTAAAACAAGATTTTTAGATATTGGCTTTCTTAAAAACTTAACACATAGAACAGGCCAAAACTAAACTAAATAAAAACAAAGTAAAACCAAAAAAACACAGCCACAAGACATATCTGGCTCATAGGCTTATGGGTTGACCATCTCTAATGTAAGCTTGGATGTGTGACTGGGGATTACAAAACTGTAAGGGTAAGTTAATGATTCAACAAGCAAACCCAAGCTTATGGCTGAAATCACATCTCTGTACCCTCCGCCTGTATTGTCACTGCTGCTCCCCTAAACTTCACCTTCTCTTTGGAATTTTCAGAATGGATATGAACATCCAACCGACTAAAATGTAATTGTACTTGGCTTAATTAAAGACTCAGCCTATTATCCTAACAAATACTGTTTTTGGAAGAGTCAGATACCTAGCCAACTAAAGGGAAATATGTAAATTTTTTTTTTTTGGGTCCAGTCGTGGGGCCTGAACCCTGGGCCTGGGTGCTGTCCCTCAGCTCTTCAGCTCAAGGCTAGCGCTCTACCACTTGAGCCACAGTGCCACTTCCGGCTTTTATCTTTTTTGCTTATGTGGCGCTAAGGAATTGAACCCAGGGCCTCAGGTATGCAAGGTAAGCGGTCTACCACTGAGCTACTTCCCAGCCTCACGTAAATTCTTGTGCTGGATGGCAAAGCTCCGTGCACTGGCTCTTCACATGCATGGCTGCCCAGATCTGCAGTTACTTCTCCCACACCATGGGCTGTGAGGCACCACATTGCTCAGAAGACCACACTCAACACCCAGCAGACACAGAAGCGCACTGCATCTCAGCTCTAAGTCCAGCACTGGCATGTTCCAGCTTGCTCTCTGGTGTATGGAAACCTCACCCTGATCTGTTCATGAGTCTGACTCTAGGATTTCCATATCGTTTCTTCCACTCAGTGCCGGCCCACCCTCTAACAGCAGCCCCCTACCCACGGCCAGTCCAGTACTGGGCCTGGGCATCTGGGGACCCCGGAGTGGTGAGGATACACAGCGGTGAACAGGACTGATGGCACCTTGGTGCCTGGATCCCTGCTGCAGTGCCCAGAAAGGCAAGGCTTCCCCACACAGTCTGTGGAGCACCACCACGGCCCCATCCGGCAGCCTCCACAGCAGGCTGACAAGAGGAAATACCAGCCTCACTTGTCACCTATTGGGAGGACTTGTGCATTTTGCCAAGTGCCCAAGTATGAGATTTGCCATCTCATACACACTACTTCCTTTAAGAAGCACAAATATGCATTTGTAAAAAAAATGATAGCTACTTTTTAAAGTCAGTCTTTGAAAAAGGTGATGTGGTGGTCTCCCTGATACGTGGATGTTAAATACAAAATGTAAGGAGATACAACAAAGTAAACAGGACTCGAGAAACAAAAGGACCTCTACTCATCTTGTCATATCGTTACTAAATGACCCCATGCTGCTGACCACATATATGGCACACGTCTGAGGGGAACCAGGAGGAGGAGACAGAATCAGAGGGAAACTGGGGAAAACACAGAACAGAGGGGTCATCAGCTGCACCGGACATTGATGAAAACGAACTAAGCAGCTCAAGGCAGCGAAGGGAGGGAGGGAACGAGAGGGAACGGGGAACAGCTCACACTAACCAAGAGGAAAGAAATGTACATTCCACCCGATGTGGAAGAGATAGCTGTATTGTCAAAACTCATAGAATTCACAAAGTTTATAGACTATAATAATGACAATTTGCCTCATGGAGGTTAGAATGTGTTTGTGACTTTCATTATCTTAAAATACTGTGAAATTTTTGAAATTTATGTAATCACTTAATCCCAATAAAATTTATTAAAAAAAGAGAGAAAGGTGAGGAGGTAATCCAGGATATGATAACCTGCAAAGTATTCTAACAAAGAAACACAGCACAGCCCTCCCAGGCCGAGCCTGTGGGAGGCCATTGCATGGTAGGTCTTGGGGCCTAAGAAGATGCACCTAACTGAAAAACAAGCCAGGCAGTTCTCTATGGAAACCACAGCCAGTCTAACGTCTTCACTGACTGTCACTGTGATACACAGACATTAAGGAGGTTGAGTTCCCAGTGGCCATGCTCAGGGCAGGCAGTGCTTGGAGATCAGTGCCCATCAGGGCTCAAGCGTGGCTGGCCAGCAGGGAAAGCACAGCGCGCTCTTACCTCAGCAGCCTGGGTCTCCTGATGTAGCAGTGTGAGGCCGGTCAAGTCTTCTAAGAAGGAATGTGAAGAATCGAACACCTTCGCGAGGAAGTTAAACCCTTCCCGCTCATACTGATCGAGGACCTGAAAAACATTTTATGTTTTTAAAAAGGAGGCTGCATAGATCAACTTCATATTTAAAGATTTTTAATTCTAACCAACAGTTGTCAAAAACAAAACTAAGGCTGAGCACCAGTGGCTCATATCTGTAATCCTGTCTATTTAAGAGTCTGAGATCTGAGGACTGAGATTCAAATCCAGCCTGAGCAGGAAAGTTGATGAGACTCTTATCTCTGATTAACAACCAAAGAGCCAAAAGTGGAGCTGTGGCTTAAGTGGTAGAGTACTAGCCTTGAGCAAAAGAAGCTCAGGACAGTGTCCAGGCCCCGAGTTCAAGGGCTGGCACAAAAAACAAAACACCCTAAAAATGAAAATAAAATAGGGAACTACTAACGCAATCTGGGTTAGTATTTATCATCTTTCTCTCCTGAGAAAAAATAACAATGTCATCTTCTAGTTCAGCTGCCAATTTTCCCCAAACTAAGTTTTCATGCAAATTCACTGAAAATTACAGAAGAATTGCCATTACCTGCACTTTTACTTCTCCCAAATGATTTAATAGGTCAGGGACAGTGCCAGTGGCAGGAAAAGTCCCTGAGACTCTTATCTCCAATTAACCACCAAAAAGCCAGAAGTGGAGCTATAGCCCAAGTGGTAGAGCACTAGCCTTGAGTACAAAAGCTCAAGGACAGCACCCAGGCCCTGAGTTCAAACCCTAGGACCAACACACACACACACACACCACACACACACACACACACACACACACACACACACACACACACACACACACACACACACACACTAAAAGGATTAAGGGAAAGGCAAAGACAAAGTGATTTGTTACAAATATACTAGCTACAAACTAGTTACAAACATACTAGCTAATCAAAAATACTTTTAAAAATATATATTTTTTCTTTTTTTGAGTCCTGTCGTGGGGCCTGAACTCTGGGCCTGGGCGCTGTCCCTCAGCATTTCAGCTCAAGGCTAGCGCTCTACCACTTGGCCACAGCGCCACTTCTGGCTTTTTTCTTTTGCTTATGTGGTGCTGAGGAGTTGAACCCAGGGCCTCAGGAATGCAAGGCAAGCGTTCTACCACTGAGCCATCTTCCCAGCCCTTAAAAATAATTTTTAACAGGAAAAATAAATGTCAACAGGCACATCATAAGCAAGGACATCCAAAGGGTCAATAAACATGAAAATGCGCTCCATGCCACAAGTGATCAGAGAGAAAAAGACTAAAACTACAGTGAAATACCACCATGTACCTACAAAAAGGCTAAAATTAAAGCCAGCAAATACCAAGTACTGACAAGGATGCAGTTTTTATGGGGGTTCTAGTTTAGAAGTAGAACATTTATATCCTTATGATCCAGCCACCCCACCCCTAGATACACACCCATAAAACATGTGCACAAATGCACATCAAAAAACACAAGCACGTGCCCGTGGCAGCACTAGTCATAAGAGCCTGAAACTGCGTCCATAAGTCCCATGAATAAGTGAGCGGTGGTACAGTTGTGCAATGAAACACTATAGCCATGAGAAGTACAACTACATTCATCAAACAACAATACACATCCCGTCGTGGCAGAACCCCGGAGTGGCTGTCTGTGGGGAGACTGTGACTAGAAAGGGCCCTCGGGACGGCCCTGGAGGGAGCAGTGTATGTTGGCTCCAAAAGGTCTACTTTTGGAGAATGCATCAAGTGCAACAGTTAAGACTTGTGCAGGGTTTTGTTTACATGTAGATAAGAGGCGGGTAGCCCTGGGAAGAAAACAGGAAGAGGACAGGAAGGTGCTCTCAGCAGCAAGAACACGTGACAGCCATTTGTGGGTAGTTCACAACTACTCCTGCAGAAAGGAGCCAAGGAGCCCGAAGCCTCAGTCCTCCCCCAACACAGAAGAAACAGAAATGAATGTTTAAAAAAAAGACAGCAGACGTTGAAGACAAACTCAAGGAGTCAGTGACAGAGGGCCAGACAGATGAAAAGCAATCAGTACTGCAAGGCGGTAGGCTGGCTGGGCATGGGAAAATAATGGGACAGCCCAATGACGAGGCCAATAAAGGCCTCTAATAAGTAACAGAACCCCTTGGTAATGGGGAGATTACTTACAAAGCAGCCTGTTATCACAGAAAGAATGGGGATGAAATGTAGATGATGTTTTCAAAGTGATAAGCACTGTGTATTTAATCATCACTTTTTTCTGAGTTCGCCCTCAGCCTGGCAGTAGTTGCTTTCTCCTGTGTTCCAGGAGAAAAGAGACAGGTTTTGAAAACTGGACACAATTTTAAAAAAAGCTGGAATAATTCCAGACGTGATATTTTGTTGGACTTTAGTTAAACTTTCAGAACTTAAGTCCATGTTTATACAGATAATTTTTATGATTCTACAAATCTGACAGTGGAAAAACTACCAGCAAGGATAGAAGAAAGGCCTTCCTCTCAGTCAGGGTCTGCAGAAAGGTTAATGCTGAAACATTATTAATAGCCCTGGCTGCAAAAGAATGGAAAACTCAATCCTCTAGGGCAAATTGAACCAGGCAAGGGGTTCCAGCATTCTCAAGTGCCACGAAGCTAATCTGTGTCACCAGAATAAGCAGCTTATAAAAGGTATGAGGATTTTTTCCCCTTATAAAAAGCTTAATCTTCTCAAAGAGGGAAAATGTGTTTGAAACTATCCAAAGAGTGAAAAAAAAAATAAAGGAAAAAAGAGAAGATAGTGTTACAATGCATTTGAGCAGTAAGCTGATAGTAATCTACATAAAATAGGCCACACCTCTTTTTTGGTGAAGGTATTGAGATTTGAACTTGGTTTTCTTTTCTTTTCTTTTTTTTTTTTAACTCGGTTTTATTGTTCACAGCTGGTGTTCTACTACTTAAACCTCATCTCTAGTCCTGTTTTATTTTTTGCAAAATATAATGAATTTTTTATTTCTTCTCTCTCAGAACCAACAAGACCACTAATAGAAACTTTAAAAATTGTAATTAGAAGGGAAATACAATATGAATATCATTAAGGTTAGTATAAGTTAAACTAAACAAACTTTATCACACGAGCACTGGGCTATGTGTAGAATTATTTTTTAAAAATTTTTTTATTATTTTTAAGTGGTTGTACAAAGAAGTCTTGTTTTTTTTAATAGCTGTTATGGAGATGGAGTCTCAAAGACTTTTCTGCCTGGGCTGGCCATGAACCAGGCGAATGACAGCCTCTGTGCACTCAGGCATGGAGAGAGAGGGAGAGGGAGAGGGAGAGGGAGAGGGAGGGAGAGAGAGAGAGAGAGAGAGAGAGAGAGAGAGAGAGAGAGAGAGAGAGAGAGAGAGAGAGAGTGTACCAGGCGATGGTCCCCAACTGTGTGTGTGTGTGAGAACCAGGCGATGGTCCCCAACTGTGTGTGTGTGTGTGTCCACACACACCAGAATATGTGAATATGTGCTGTCTGCCCAGAGTCACCTCGCTCATGGAGGCTGGGGATTGTAAAGCAGTGGGCAGGCAGGAAGAGGGCATGCCAGCCTCCGCTGGGCAACTTTCTTAGGGAGGTACCTTTCCTTTTTTCAGTCCCCCCCTTTTTTTTTGGTTGGTCATGGGCTTGAACTCAGCCTAGGTGCTGCCCATGAGCTTTTCTGCTCAAAGCTAGTGCTCTACCATTTCAGCCAGAGCTCCACTTTCAGTTTTCTGGTGGTTAATTGGAAATAAGACTGTCATGGACTTGTATGTGCTCTCTGAACCTCGATACTCAGATCTCGGCATCCTGAGTAGCTAGGGTTACAGGCATGAACCACCAGCTTCCGGCTGTCAGTCATCTTTTTAAACCAAATCATGAAAACCAAAGATGTTGTCTGAAGACACATGTTGGAGAATCCCAAGACTTAAAAAACAAAACAAAAAACCCTTTGAGCCGGTGCTGATGGCTCACGCCTGTAATCCTAGCTACTCAGGAGGCTGAGATCTGAGGATCACAGTTCAAAGCCAGCCCAGGCAGGAAAGTAGTGAGACTCTGATTTCCAATAAGCCATCAGAAAACTGGAAGTGGCGCTGTGGCTCAAGTGGTAGAGTGCTTGCCTTGAGCTGAAGAGCTGAGGGACAGCACCCAAGCCCAGTGTTCAAGCTCCACCATGACCAAAAATTTAAAAAAACACAACCAAAACTTACTACCTCATTTATCTTTTTTTTTTTTTATCCTTAAAAATGTGAATGTAACAAAGGCTAGCTCTCTAACTCCATGCACAACGCAGGGCAGGCACCTGATGAGCAGGGTCCCCGGAGGGCTTCAGAGTTGCTGACTAATCAGTTAGGTCCAGACTGGGATCTGAGCTTGGTGATTCCGGCCAGTTTCCCGATGACAGTGATGCTGGCCCTTGGCCACGTGGTAAGAAGGTCTCCTGCATCTACACAGGGGCACAGGCCCTGACACTCATCCACAAAGAAGCACACACGTTTCTTTACTATTCACTTTCAAAACTCATCTTTAAGTTGAACATAGTGGTGCACATGTGTAATCTCAACTATTGGAGTGCTGGGGTAGAAGAGGCAGGAGGATTGTGGGTTTGAAGCCAAAGCTGGCAGAAGTTAGGGAGACTCTCTCTCAAACACAAAAACATGAAACAAAAGGGCTTGTGAGTCTAGCAGTAAGGGCTTGCCTAGTATGCCCGACTCGTCTTTAGTTGTTGCCCTAAAAGACATGACTGTGTGTGATACCAAAGGTTGCTGGGCCGTTTGATTTAATCCCTTCAACACATTATTCATGGTAAGAAGTCCTTCATTCCTTCTTCCCTGCAGCCAGGTTTCCTGAAGAACACATGACTTACAATGTAAATTTGGGTTCAGTGCATTTCATTTTGGAATCGAGAGTTATATAAGCACTTATCTGGCACAGAGGTTCTATTGATAAGATTGCATTATTTTGTACAGTATTCTCTCTTTTCCCTCTGCATGGCTGTTGAGGGCATTGTCATAAACTGACAGCTGGAACAGTCTACAATACTTTTGGTCTGATTCATGCACAACTTTGGAAGAG